ACTATTTGAAACCCCAACTTTATTATTATTATTATAGAATGTTCTGGGAAAGTGTGGAGAAATCGAAGAGGAGGCTGGCTTGACTTCAGGTAAAGTCAAATCATAGTTTCAAAATTATGTCTGGGTGTCTGTTTGTTTGTATCCAATAAACGTCAAAACGGCTGAACCGATCAGAGAAAAAAAATTAATGCATGAAACGGAATCGTCAAGAAGTATTGAAACGTGGGTAAAATTAATAATAAAAGAAAAAATTAAATTTAAAAACTTTTTATTTGCACCTTATTAAACCAAACAAAATTTATAAATATTTATGCTATTTTTATTTAATTATTTTAGGTGGTAGACGAGTGTCAATTTAAACACGAAGAAATGGCGACAATATTCCAACTCAAGACTACTCATACGTTTCTCACCAATTATGTTCAAACATTTTCAAATCAAAATCTTGAGTGAAACCGGTGATCATGAAAATCTCTTGAAAATTTGGTTGGTCCGAGCCGATACAAAATGTACTGTCTGTGCAATAAGTTGTACCATCAAGTCTGGACTACCCAGTTCAGAGCCGACCCAGCACGTTTTATGCATTAAATGTAGCCTGGCAAGAAAACATTGCTCTGTTTATAGTTATCTCTGGAAGGCTTGACCAGCACGGAAAATCAAAAAGGAATTAATTAACATATGACTTGCAACGCACGCACCTCTGCCCCTTTACTAAAAGAAAATTCAACCTATATGAAGCATAAAGTCTGACCGCGTCAACATTGTTGCACCGGCTAGTCCTGTCCAAAGAGCTAGGTACGGTACAAACTAGGCCCGGAAAGGTTGACCCGGCTCGGAAATTCAAATGGACAACGGCTGCCCGTGGACGCTTGCAACAGAAAACTTTGAAGCAAACGCGGGGAAAAAATGACTCTAAAAAGTGATTATTGAAAACAGACTGAAACTATTGAATAAAGATTCTAGAAAATAAGAACCTGGTGAAGTTTTTAAACTGAAAACTAGTCAATTAAACTAATTTGAAATTGTACATTTACGATAAGTGAATAAAAACAGTTTTAAAGGGAGTGACTGGCAATTAAGGGTAGTTAAGCTGAGAGTGCATTTTTGGATAATAAAAATTTTTGATTCATTGATATCAATAATTTGTCTTTTAACAATTTTCGTCAGGAAGTATGATTTATCCTCATTAATAATACTGCGCAAAAAAATGCAAAGATTGCGATTACGAGTAAGTAAGTTAATTAATTAAACACAAAGGCGTTGCAACACTTTAAAGCCAACCCAGTCTTGAGAAATGATGTAATTTTTTTTTCAGAACTTTGCTCTCAGCTGAACTATCTCTTATCTCTCTTCTCATACTGACTGACATTAATTTCTAAAAATAAGTACAAAAATAGTTTTAACAAATTATTAATATCTCACTATATTATATATAACTGATTAACTTTAGCTCTAATTCCTCTTATCAAGATAAATAAATATATTTTTGGTTAATTCATCAAATTTTGATAATGCTCTTTATTTTCATTTAAACATATGATTGACAAATAATATAAAAAAATGTTTTATTATTTACAAATCTTCAAAGTCCAGATAGTGTAACTAATCATTTACCGATCATAACATATTTTGAGTCAAAATGATTTCTCGAAAATGTATTATTAACGAATCTAACAATGTTTATAATTGTGAAGATTTTTCACTAGATGATTCTAAGGAGATGGTTTTTGAGAGAAGGTTCTTTTGGGAGATTGTCTTATGTAATATTATTCTATTGGGAGATTCTTTTATTGAGAGATGGATATTTTGGGAGATTGTTTTAATAGGAGATGGTTCTATTGGGAGATATTTCTATTGGGAGTTGGTTCTATTGGGAGATGGTTCTATTGGGAGATTTTTTTATTGAGAGATGGTTCTATTGGGAAAAAGTTATATTGTGAGTTAGTTCTAATAGGAGTTGGTTCTATTGGGAGATGGCTCTATTGGGAGATGGTTCTTTTGGGATTTAATTTTTTGTGAGATAGTTCTATTGGGAGATCGTTCTATTGTGACATATTTTTAAGTGGGAGATGGCTCTAATGGGAGAAGCTTCTATTGGGAGATAGTTATATTGGTAGATAGTTCTAATGGGAGATGGTTCTATTAGAGATGGTTTTATTCATTGGGAGATGGTTCTATTCCTTTGGAGATGGGTTTATTCCTTGGGAGATGGTTCTATTCCTTGAGAGATGGTTCTATTCCTTGAGAGATGGTTCTATTCATTGGTAGATGTTTATATTCTATTCCTTGGGAGATGGTTATATTCCATGGGGGATGTTTATGTTCCTTGAGAGATGGTTCTATTTGGAAATGGTTTTATTCCTTGGGAGATGGTTCTATTGAGAAATGGTTCTATTCCTTGAGATATGGTTCTATTCCTTGAGAGATGGTTCTATTCCTTGAGAGATGGTTCTATTCATTGGTAGATGTTTATATTCTATTCCTTGGGAGATGGTTATATTCCATGGGGGATGTTTATGTTCCTTGAGAGATGGTTCTATTTGGAAATGGTTTTATTCCTTGGGAGATGGTTCTATTGAGAAATGGTTCTATTCCTTGAGATATGGTTCTATTCCTTGAGAGATGGTTCTATTCCTTGAGAGATGGTTCTATTCATTGGTAGATGTTTATATTCTATTCCTTGGGAGATGGTTATATTCCATGGGGGATGTTTATGTTCCTTGAGAGATGGTTCTATTTGGAAATGGTTTTATTCCTTGGGAGATGGTTCTATTCCTTGGGAGATGGCTCTATTCCTTGTGAAATGGTTCTATTGGGAAATGGTTCTATTCCTTGAGAGATGGTTCTATTGAGAAATGGTTCTATTCCTTAAGAGATGGTTCTATTGGGAAATAGTTCTATTCTTTGAGAGATGGTTCTCTTCCTTGGGAGATGGTTCTATTGAGAAATGGTTCTATTCCTTGAGATATGGTTCTTTTCCTTGGGAGATGGTTCTATTCCTTGGGAGATGGCTCTATTCCTTGAGAGATGGTTCTATTCGTTAGGAGATGTTTATATTCCTTGGGAAATGGTTCTATTGGGAAATGGTTCTATTCCTTGAGAGATGGTTCTCTTCCTTGGAAGATGGTTCTATTGGGAAATGGTTCTTTTCCTTGAGAGATGGTTCTTTTCCTTGGGATTTGGTTCTTTCGAGAGAATGCTCTTTATAGACATTGTTCATACCCTTGCAAAATGGTTCTAGTTCTCAGGACATTGTTTATTTCTATTGGGAGATGATTCTATTTCTCAGGAGATGGTACTTTTAGGAAATGTTTTTAATTATTAGGAAACCTTTGGGTATATGGTTATATTATGAGCTGGTTTTATTAATTGGGAGAATGTTTTAATGGGAGATGGTTCTATTGGGAGATGGTTATTTTGGGAGATGGATCTATGATATATGGTTCTCTTGGGATATGGTTCTCTTTGGATTTGGTTCTATTGAGAGATGGTTCTTTGGGAGATGGTTCTATTCCTTGGAAAATGGTTCTACTTATTGGGATATATTTTGGGAGATTATATTTCTATTCATTGTAAAATTATTTTAATGGAAGATGTTTCTTTATATGGTTCTTTGGGAGATTGTTCAATGATAGACTGTTCTATGGTTTTATTGTTCTATGGTTCTACTGAGTCCAGTCGAATATTCTAGAATCTAAATCATCTTGAGCCCAGGTGGGAGTACCTTGGGATATAGTTCTTCCACTCCCACTACTCCTCCTGTAGATAGATAGATAGATAGATAGATAGATAGATAGATAGATAGATAAATGGATAGATAGATAGATAGATAGATAGATAGAAAGATGATTGATATATATGAACTGGAGATTAAACTCTAATCTGGAGATTAAACTCTGAACTGGAGATTAAACTCTTAACTGGAGATTAAACTCTGAACCGGAGATTAAACTCTGAACTAGAGATTAAACTATGAACAGGAGATTAAACTCTCAACTGAAGGTTAAACTCTGAACGGGAGATTAAACTCTGAATTGGAGATTAAACTCTGAACTAGAGAATAAACTCTGAACTAGAGATTGAACACTGTACTGGAGATTACACTCTGGACTGGAGATTTAACTCTGAACTGGAGATTAAACTCTGAACTGGAGATTAAACTCCGAATTGGAGATTAAACTCTGAACTGGACATAAAATTCTGAATTGGAGATTAAACTCTGAAATGGAGATTAAACTCTGAACTGAAAATTTAAAATTATGTTTAACCTTTTTAACTATGTTTTCAAAATAGAATTGAAGTTGGACGACGACATTTAAAATGGTACTCCATGAAAAGGTTTCTAGTGAAATGGAAAAATGTTTTCGCAAAAATTTCGCCTTTTTCGCACAAATGTTTTTTTACGCTTCCTTTCACAAAATTCATTTTCAAGAAATTTTGCTTTTTTGCGAAAGTTTTCGTTCGCCGGAAACTCTACTTGATGAACTAGATGAACTAGATTGACCTGCTAGAGTGTCTGCTGAAGTCCCTGAGTGGAGACAATAAAGAGCTAGTTGATCCTGCAGTTGCCCCTGAAACAATGTGTTTTTTCAAATACAGGGTGTCTCTAGAAACATGACAGATAGTAAGACGTACATAAGGTCGTCCTTAATATCTTTGACATAATTTGCATTATTTATTCGTAAACCTTATTTTAAAAGTAAAATTCTAGAGTTACTAAAAACAAAATATCTCTAGTTTTGGCATTTCCAAAATGTGGAAGATATCAATAAAATGAAGACGACTTTTTACTTAAGTTTTTATTGTTAAAAAGCTTTTTTAGACATACAAGTTCACAAGTTATTAAAGAGAAGATTACAAGTTCACAAGTTATTAAAGAGAAGATTACAAGTTCACAAGTTATAAAAGAGAAGATTTTTTATTGACAGTTTCTCTTTGTTCACAAGTTATTAAAGAGAAGATTTTTTATTGACAACTTCTCTTTGTTTCCGTGTTTTGGTGTATCCATGCTGTTTAAAAGCTTGATATAAATCAAAATTAAAACCGAAAGTCGTCTTTATTGTATTGATACAATCGTTTATCACCGTATTACCGGGTGAAGAAATTTGGCCAAGTTTTAACAATTTTGATTTTACTTGATAATATTAAAATTTGAACGAAATTCTGAATATCTCCACTATTATTTACAGCAAAAATGGCGGACCACATTTTGGAAGTGCCAGGATTAGGAGAATTTTTGTGGTTGTTTCGTGGGACATGTTCCAAAATAGGATTATCAATTTCATCTTATTTTTTTAGATTGTTAAGTTAATTATTAGCCTTCCGTCAAATATAGTGAAAAAATTACCTGTTTGACCCAAACTTTAAAAAAAATGTGTTTTTTCTTGAAAGAGTCCAAAATTTGCTTGACAAGAATGCCACGACTATAATTTGTCATTTTTCCAAAGGAATACATTAACTTCGATTCTTGTATAGAAATAAAAAATTGATGTTTAAAAGTGATATTCTCTTGAAATACAGTTAAACTCAAATATAAAAAGTCATCGGAAGAATTTTTCAAATGTCGTCTTGCTTGAACATTAATTACTCTGGATTGCCGCTGAGAAAATATGATAAAAGCTGGTTATTTACAATATGTTCCGCATATTTCAGGGCTAATTATTTAACTTAAAAAATAAATAGTTGAATGAATGAAGAATTTTTGTGTTTACCTGAACATCTTTCAAAATATGTTTTAGCCAGTTTCTCCATCGGTATATTCCTAAAATATTTAAACATCAACAAAGCTCTTACAATTAAATTTCTTAGATAACAAATTTTAAGAATTTTATGCTGCAGATGTTTAGTTTTTTTAATTACATGATTATATGGAGCTCTTTAAAACTGTAAAACCCACATATTTCACGACTATTTATTTATTTAAACAATTACTGAAATTTAGGTATACTACAGTGATAGCCAGAATACTGTAGAATAGGAAGACGACATTAAAGTAATACTGAATTATATTTGATGGGTTACAAAGCAAATAGCTTTTCTTGTAAGTTATTAAATCAATCATTAAGTGAAATTGATTTGTTTAAACTGCACAATTGCTGTACCTTATTGTTAAAGTCAAAACTTGAGTCTAAAAGTCAACTTTCTATTCCAGAGTTTTCTGGTCATCGCTGTATTCTAAAGCCATTGAAAAATTGTCAAAACGACATTATAAACTCTTTTGATGTTTCCAAAGTTCTTGGTTAAACTGTAGAACATCTGGAACTATCTGTTCTTCTTTATACCTGAGTAGGCTGGCAGGTCCTAGTGGTACTCGGCAGGTAGGACAGGTACGGACCTATCAATCAATCAGTCAATCAGTTAATCAATCAGTCAATAAGTTAATCAATCAGTCAATCAGTTAATCAGTCAATCAATTTTTTTATCAGTTAATCAATCAATTAATCAATCAATCCATCAATTAATCAATTAATGAAAATATCAACTCATAAATCACTTAATTTAGCATTCATCAATCAATCAATTCATCAATTAAACAAGTATGCAGGCCACCAGGCAAAGCAAAACTGCATAAATAAATAAATCAAAAAACCAACAATAAACTAAATATTTCAGGATTATTAAATGAATGAATAATAATTGATGAAATCAATTAAAAAATCAAATTTGAAATCAATTAATTAACACAGTAATCAATCAATACATAATTGAATCAAAAACCAAGTATATTAATTATAAAGCCGACAGCTTGAAAATAAACTATCGAAGCCCTGAAAGGGAATTTAGAGGTAATGTCAAGAGAACCTTTATTTTTACAGTGATTTACAGTTTTCTCTGATCAAGACTGAATTAATTCTCTTTAAAAATTTGTAAATTTTAATTTTGGCTTTTTATGAAAATGACTGCAGATTTTATGCCAAAGAAACACTGGCAAAATTAAACCTTTTCAAGATAGAAAACGACATATATTATTGATCAGATAATATATACAGGGTTACCCACAAAGGATGAGACTGTAAAGACAACTTGAAACTCTTGAAATATAACAATTCAAAGTTTGAATTAAGTCTTCTGCCTTGAAATGTCTTATTTGAAGATTTTGCAAAGAAAGAAAAAAGTTTTTAGTAGCAGGGATTCATGAATATAAGGAAAGAGACAGTTCAAAATTCCGCACAATCGTCTCTGAAGTCTCATCCTTTGTGGGTAACCCTGTGTTAATTCCACCCATACCGAACAGTGCAATCTACAGAACATTTATATATTGAAAACAAAAATGTTACTTGGTGAAAGTACAGGAAGGTGGGTATTAATCTTTAACAAGCTGGGGGGGGGAGGGCGTTTGGTATTGAAGTTATATAGTTGTCGATCTTTAGCTATTTGTATATAAATATATATAAATGTGTTTCTGTCGAAGTTATCTAGTTGTCGTTTACTGATCTTCAGGTCGTCTTCAAGCCTCTTCACTTCACTCACTTGTCTAGTTTAAAGTTTAAAGTTTATAGAATGGTACGTAATTTATTCACAATGTTAACTTTAAAAGCTTTGTCGGACTAGGTATGAATTAGATATTATTTTAAAAACTAAATATGTTTAATTGGGGTTTCTCTACAAACGGGATTTGCGCAATTTACTGCAGACAAACCGTGAAGGTTTCAGAATTAAACATTTTTCAAGCTAGAAAAAATATCTTCCACACAATGATTAGATAAGAGTTTCAAGAGTATGGCTGTGAATCGGAAATGCCCTTTTTTAAATGGAAAATTACTTGGAAGTAAAAAGACAGAGTCCCTTTAAGATTGATAAAAGTACAAAAGATTTACCAATTTTACTAATTTACTTTTTTGGCCGATTCCCTTAAAAAAAAATCAGTGTAATTCAGAAACATTTTGATTAAATTTTTTTCTTGATGAAATGCCGCAATGAAGTTTATTAATAAAGGTAAAACAACAAAATATTTTAATTTTTTTATAAATAAATAAGTTTCACATTACAAATTTCATAATTGATAACCGTAAAAATTTTAAATAAATATTATATTTCAAAAGGAACCTTGTAATCATGGCGAGCCGTTTTTTCATGGACTGATCTAGCGCAAGCTGAAGCCGGTCAATCTCCTGAAATATTACATCACTAGCCTGGGAAAGCAGTGTGGCTCAGGGAGTCAGTTAGTCCTACCATGAGAAAAACCTTCCCATAGGTCTCCCGAAATCCCAAATCCAGATTTGAGGCAAATCGGTCAAGATATTACAAAACAACTTTATATATTACATGAACCTAGTATAAGCTACATTTGTTGAATATCCCTATTGCTGTCATTTCCAATAGTGGTCTGCCATTTTGTTGCTTTCAAAATGCAGAGATATTAAAAAATTTTAAAAATTTTAATTCATAAAATCAAATCATAAAATTATAATTTATTTGTAAACCTAATTTTAAAGTTGATAATCACAAAATAACATAGCCCAAGGCAAAACGTGTTCTGCTTATTGGCACTTTTTAAAATAATACTAAAAATACAAATAATTGTGTTCATTTTTTGACAGTTAAAATTTCTTTATTAAATTGAAATCTGAACGAAAAATCTCCTTTGTTAAGAGCACAAGAAATGCAGACCACGTTTTGGAAATTCCGGGACTAGGATTCATGTGATTATAGTTTCAGGAAACATAAATGAAAAAGTAGGTTGTCTAACGACTGTCAAGTTTCCTGTCGTCAAGTTTATTATTAATTGAAACAAAGAAAAGAAAAATTATATTTAATTTGATTTCATCATTCAAATTGTTTACTTTTGTCAGTGGTTCCATTTCTGCTTCATGTTTCTCCTTGGTTTTTGACAGAGATTCAAACCTAAAAGTAGAAATTGTGGGACTTGTAAATGTAATTTCTAGGAACCAGCCCCATTGATAGAGTGGTATTTCTAATTCAAACCTAAAAGTAGAAATTGTGGGACTTGGAAATGTAGTTTTAAGGGACAAGCTCCATTTAATAAGCCCTTAATAGACTTAGTAGTACATTTAATCTAACCTTGGAATCATCATATCCTAATAGTTTCAAGTCGTAAGGGTTTGAATTGTGCATTTTCCTCTTTAAATGGATAATCACTTAAAAATTACAAGAACAGTCCCTTTAAGTAAGTAAAAACCATCTTTAAAAAGATATAACAACACATTTACCTTGTATCTATTGTATGAAGTAAACGTTTCCTTGCTTCTGTCTTCAAATCTTCAACTTGATTTTCAAGTTCACGGATTTGCACAACCTGGACAGAAAAAGACGACATTTGCTTAAAGTAATCAAAATAAAAGACAACATTATAATGAAATAAATACCTCCGCGGGATTATCACGAATCTTGATTGCATGCTCTATCTTTTCACCCACTATGGGATGGTTTCTAAACAAAAATAAAATGTTTAATTTTTAGAAGATGCATTTTAATAATTTCATCTAATGTTTGACCGCATTGATAATTAAATACTTCTTGTCCGTCATTGCTATTCAAAGGAAGATACCTTTACAAACAAATTTTTTTAAAGTTATCTGCTGATATTGATAGAAAGATATAAACCTGTTTATTGTTATTTCTTGGTCTGTTTGACTGCTAAAATGATAAATTGATTTTTGCAGGCAGCGAGTTGCGACTGCTATTTCTTGAGCTGTTTGACCCCTCATATTGATTGATAGATAGATACCTGTTGACCAATATTTCTTGAGTTGATATTAATAGATAGATATATACCTGTTGACCGCTTTTTCTTGAGCAGTTTGACCCCTGATATTGATAGATATAAATAGATTCCTGTTGATTGCTATTTCTTGAGCAGTTTGACCCCTGATATTGATAGATAGATAAATACCTGTTGATTGCTATTTCTTGAGCTGTTTGATCCCTGATATTGATAGATATAGATATATACCTGTTAATTGCTATTTCTTGAGCTGTTTGACTCCTGATATTGGTAGATCGATATATACCTGTTAACTGCTATTTCTTGAGCAGTTTGACTCCTGATATTAATAGATAGATATATACCTGTTGACCGCTATTTCTTGAGCAGTTTGACCCCTGATATTGATAGATATATATATAGATGTTGGAACGCTATTTCTAAAGCAGTTTGACCCCTGATATTGACAGATAGATTTATACTTGTTGACCAATATTTCTTGAGTTGTACTGATATTGTTAGATAGATAAAGACCTGTTGATTGCTATTTCTTGAGCTGTTTGACCCCTGATATTTATTGCATCCAATTCAATACCAGGAACTTGCAATAAACGGTCAACTATTTTTTCCTGAAAGAAAAATTAAAAAATAGCATTAATCATAATTATAATTACATTGTTTCTGTTTTTTTCATCAAATATTAAACAATGATCTCGAATTGTGTTAAAAAACACTTAACAATTCCTTCATTTTCTAGAATACCTGGCCAAAACTAGCTGCTTCCATTAATACTGTCCACTGAATAAAAACAAAAAATCAGAAGTGTTTATTAAATTAACTAAAAATAATAATTAAACTATAATAATATTATTTATCTTAAAGTAAAAATTCAAATCTAATAAAATCAGTTTTATTAAACATCAGAACAAGTACAGTGGTACTTAAAAACTGCGGAATAGGAAAACAACGTATTATGTACTTATGTGTACATATTATGTGTACTTAATGTTAGTTTCAAGCAAATTGTTTTACCTGTACCTTGCTGATCAACGTTGTCAGAGAATGAAACTGTTTACACCGCACAATTGCTGTGTTTTAGGTTCATTAGACTATTTGAAACCCCAACTTTAGTTTACAAATCGTCTTCCTTTTCCACAGTTTAATGGATCTCACTGTAATTAAAAATAATTTAAAACCTTATCATTCCTAGCCCAATCTGCATCTGTTAATGAAGGTAGATCCATCAATTTCTTCAAGTGTTCTTGTCCTCCTCCTCCTCCACCCCCTTGAACACCAGTCCAACCACCTGCATCTCCTCCTAGCTATAAACAGGGTAGGTAGGTAGGTAGGTGGGTAGGTAGGCAGGTAGGTAGGTAGGTAGGTAGGTAGGTAGGTAGGTAGGTAGGTAGGTAGGTAGGTGGGTAGGTATATATATAGGTAGATAGATATGATGTTAATTACTTTCCCAAAGGCTTTTCTCCAAGCCTTCTAGGCGCAGTGGTCAGCACCCCATTGCAGCCTTCAGCCCCTCAGAGGGACAAATCTAACCTTTGGGGAGTTGCCGCTTGGGAAATTGGACATTTGGGAAGTTGCCACTTGGGAAATTGTCACTTGGGAAGTCGGTCTTGGGAAAACGCCTTTGGGAAAATACCTAACACTGGAAGATATTATACAATTTTGCTAACCTGCATTGCTAACATGAAGGTGGTAAGCCTATCATTGTTCCTGATATTTACACATATAGCTGGTTGTTCCAGGAGATACTCTACAACCTTAATAAAGGGATTGTTTCTGATATTAACACAGATAGCTGGCTGCTCTATCAGATACTCTACAACCTTAATAAAGGGATTGTTTCTGATATTAACACAGATAGCTGGCTGCTCTATCAGATACTCTACAACCTTAATAAAGGGATTGTTTCTGATATTAACACAGATAGCTGGCTGCTCTATCAGATACTCAACAACCTTAATAAAGGGATTGTTTCTGATATTAACACAGCTAGATAGCTGACTGCTCTATCAGATACCCAACAACATTATAAAACAGCTGACAATATTTCATGGAGGATCCAGAATTGAAAATAATTACATTTCAGAAAGAGAAACATTGACAGCTCATTCGTTATTGATCTGACAAAGCTTTAAAAGGGTAACATTGAGAATATACGTTTCCAGGGACTGTTGATGAAATTTTAAGCGACTTTTTATTTCAAAGAACTGTTTGTTCGGGACACACAACGGTACAGAGAAACCAAAATTAAAAGGTTCAAAATAGGTATGTTTATATATTTATATATAAACCTGTCTGTCTTGTTGTACTGATTGTGGTAAGCGACTATATCACCACAATGAAGACGACTTTTTCTTTAAGTTTTGATTGTTAACAAGCTTTTTTCAAATTACAAGTTTACAAGTAATCAAAGAGAAGCTTTTTTAATTAATAGCTTCTCTTGACTTATAAGTTAATGTTTAACAGCTGAATTTTAATCAAAATTGAAATCAAAAGTTGTTTTCATTGTTTTGATATAGTCACCTACCACTGTATTGTGTATATCAAAAAAAATGTCTAAACAATATTGTATTAGATTGAACCGATATGGCCCAAAGGAATTGAGTCTTTGTCACAAACTCTGATTTTCTAACTCCTATATCTTTGCAATCCATTGTCGTAGACCTTAGATATTTCAAACTATGAATTCTGTTGCATCAAATTATCTTAGTTTGAAATATTTAAAGTCTACAACATCAGGTTCCATAGATATAGGGATTAGGAAATTTGAGCTTGTGGCAAAAACTCAATTTCATGACCTAATTTGGATGGTGTGACCAAAACATTACGTTGTAATTCAATATAAGCAAACTTATAAAGCACAGAGTTTAAGAAGAATCTTACAAGATTCTTTTTGAGCCTCTTAATAATAAAAGTTGAACCAAGAATGAAGAAAAAATATCTGAATAAAATACAATGGCCTCAGGCCTTTAACTTTAAAAGAAAGAAAAACAACATTCAAATGTAAATAGTAATATTACATATCAAAAATCTAAAATAAAAATGTTTGAAAAACCAGTTTTGGAAACATAAAGAACTTAATTTTGTAGAATTTATTAATCGTGTTTTTTTCATTCTGCATAAAAATAAATATTTTTTTTCAATTGCTGCGTGATAGAAAAAAATGAAAATGTGCAAACTTTTTTTGCAGAAGAGGTGCATGCAAAATTGTACGTTTGCAAAACCTAAAAACTGTCAAAATAGACTCTTTGCAAGCTTCTAAAAATGAAATTGATGACTTTTGAGGATTTTTTGCATAAAAATCTGTTTCCGATATTAAAACCGATTCAAATTGCAATTTTTGAACATTTTCTGGTTTTCTCGCAATAAACACTAAGGTTACGAAAATTTTGCAAGTTTTCCATTTTAGAACTCATAATTGGACAGAGAAGGCGATAGGATCAGGATACTATGCAGATGATACAAATGTATAATAAGAACTGCAACTAAAACACATAAGTTTCGCTTAAACCAGATCAATTAATATTGCATTAGTTGACAGTAGTCGGTGTAATCAAAACAAAATTACTTCATACTATGATTATAACCACTTCAAAACTTTTCAAAAAATCAAGGCTTAGAAAAGTATTAATAAAACAAGATAAATTACCATCCTGTAGATTTTGTAAGTATTAATATTAAAATAAGAAAGCATTAATTTTAACCTCCTACTCATAATCTATCTTGAAATATTTCTTTATCACACCATTCTTGAATCTATTGAATCAGTTATTAACCATTTTGTTTTGAACAGCAGAGACACCTAGTGAGCAAAATGATAACTTGCATTCTAAAGTCCATGTAGAATGCTGGACCAGCACAGAAAAAGGGGAAAACCATGTCCCAAAAAAATCAAATGAAAATATTAGTTAGGAATAATTGAAAACAAAAATATGAAAAAATCTAACTTTTATTTCTAATTTATTTGTTGATTCCTGAAAATCCTCAATCTCATCTTAACAGGTTTGTAAACCAAGGAGAGGCGGGTGGGTTCTGTGGCCCGGGTAGGACCACCATAGGAAAAAGGGGAAAACTATGTCTAAAAAATTTGAAAAAAAAACATTTGATGGGAATAAATAAAACAAAAATATGAAGAAAATTAAACTTCTAAAAATTGGTTGATCCCTGAAACTCCTGGGTCTCATAATAAGAGGAAAACAATGAGAGTGTAGGAGGGTAGGTAGGTAGGTAGGTAGGTAGGTAGGTAGGTATGGAGGTAGGTAGGNAGCGGCCTCGGAGGGTATTTGAGAGGGGGGGGGAGATTAATTATGAGGCGTGGGTGGTTTACTGGTTAGGGAGGACAGGTTTAATGACCAAGTAAACTGAAAGTAATATAAACTATAGAAACATATATAATAATATGAATTACCAATGTGACCTAATAGAAATAATTCGCAACAAAATACATTACTCGATCAAAACGCATTCCTTAAATTCCCAGACGTTCAACATAATGGGATCGAGACCGGAAACAGAAAACAAATTTCATAAGAAAATATTAATACCGAAAAAACGAAAAGTAAAAATGTTGGCAAAAAGGGTGTGAAAACATTAAGATTAACATATTTAGTATTTTATATCATGTTATTATCTTAATGAAAAATGAATCTGCAAAATTTTTAATACACTGTGGCATGATTATAACTTAAATACATAAAAAGTCAAGTTTTTTAAAATGATTGACAACCAAACTAACCCAGGGTATACCAAAAATAGATGTAATATTTCATAATTATCACTATTAGAATTAAAAAAGCATTAATTTTATCGTCCTAATTATCAGCTATCTTTAAAATTTCTGTCTGACACCTTTATTGAATCTATTTATTCAGTTTTAGTAGAGACACCTAGTGAGTGAAATGATAACTTGTATAAATAGAAAAGAGGGGAAAACCATTTCCAAAAAATAAGAAATAAAAATTAATATGAATAAATTAAAACATAAATATGAAGAAAATTAAACTTTTAGATATAAATTGATCCCTGAAAACCCTAGGTCTCATAGCAACAGGTAAGCAAAGGGGAAGGGGGTGGTTCTATAAAAATTAACGGCCAGGGTAGGCATGTAAGGGTATGGCCAGGGGGGGAGGGTAATTATTGAGTGGCGGTAATGGCTGGTATAAGGGTCGGAAAACATATGGTAACAACGTAAACTAGAAAAATAGAAACAAAAATAAAAATTCATTAATGTAACCTAGCCTTGTGTAACCCCCTTTTTTTCATTGTACTCTAATAATAAAAATTTTCACAGATTTATTTGTATTTATTTAAGTGAATTTTTAAATGTTGTTTTTTCCAGGCAAATTTAAATTTCCATTTAGAATTTCATTTTTGTACCTATATCTGATCAAAGATAATAGATTTGTATAAGTCATCATCATTTTTAAGCTTAAAAAGTGCTTAATTCTGATAAATCACTCCATTGTACAATTGAAAGCAACCACTTCAGTGAAGGCGCCAGAATTAAAAAAATAAACATTTTAAATAAAAGAAAATTGTCAACTTATTAGTTTTTGATTAGAAAAAGCTTGTAGAGAACCAATTTGAAAGGTCTGAACAAAAAATGTATAAAATAAATTTGTTGTGAAGAAAATTTTACTTAATACCTTTGATTAAGGTTAGTGTTTGCATTGTAGTGCAAAAGCTTACAAAGCACACATGATCATAGATTTGTGTGTTAATATTGAATGTAAAATGAAAGAAAAAAGTTTGAATTACATTTTTATTGTTTTAAATCATGTTTTATTCAATAAAAAAAAAGTATTTCCAAAATAAAAGCAAATGTTGCCGCTTATTGATATAAAGAAAATACGTAAGCATTGTTAAAAATTTCTTTTTTGTAAGTAAATAAAGGGTCAAGCTTTTAAAAATAAAATTCATAACTTTCCTAGATTTTTTACAACAGGGAGAATAAATAAAATGGGATAATTTGCAGAACATTTTTTATCTTTAAATTCTCTTTGTCAAAGTAAATCAAGAAATGTCTTTAAGCATAGGTGACGTTAATGGTCAAGCGCTTACACAGGATTTTAGCCGGGGGGGGGGGGTGACAAGTTTTTGCGTGAATCCCGGAATTTCCCCCCCCCCCCTTGGCCTTAAAAATATTGTTATTCTATTTTATTATTATTATTCTCCTGAGACTACTTCTCTCTGTAGTCCCTCTATAGTCCCAATTCAAGGACTATATATTATTATTCTAATGTATCCCTCTGTATAGTTCTGTATTACTCTCTGAAGTCCTAAGTAGTCTCCTAAATCCTCTGTCCTCTTTATTCTCCCTTAATCTTTTCCTATTGCAATCTCCCTTCAGAGGGGTTGCGGGAAGACATGCCAAATAATGCATAATGCATAAAGTTACATATTGTTTATCAAGAAGGGGGCTATACTAAGATACAATATAATATAAAATATAAGGGAAATACTACAATGAAATATAATATAAAATAAAAGGGAAATACTAAGATAAAATATAATATAAAATATAAGGGAAATACTAAGATAAATTTTTTAAATAAGTGGCGCGCAGTGCAAAGAAAATGTTAATTTACTTTTAAGGAGGATTTTAGAACCATTATAAGAAAGGGAAAGCTTTTTTTTACCCACCACACCAAGTTGGGGAAGGCAGGTGGCTGTGAGCCACCACTATTTACCCTTCCGAGCCACAGATTAGCTTTATTCTCTTCCGGCAGCCAAAAGCCACATTTGACTCTTCTGTTTTTTGATTAATTTGCAATATTCTAACAATGCAAAGCGCATGTACACATTTTGGATGGATGTAAATACCTTAAGATGACCGGAACCAGTAGCATACATGAGAGTAAGGTATACTACCAAAAGATGACCGGACCCAGCAGCATACACGAGAGTAGAGTATACTACCTAAAGATGACCGGACCCAGCAGCATACATGAGAGTAGAGTATACTACCTGAAGATGACCAAACCCAGCAGCGTACATGAAAGTAGAGTATACTACCTGTAGATGACCAAACCCAGCAGCGTACATGAGAGTAGAGTATACTACCTGAAGATGACCGGACCAAGCAGCTTACACGAGAGTAGAGTATACTACCTGTAGATGACCGGACCCAGCAGCGTACATGAGAGGAACACATCCAAGACAGTTTCTACTATTCACATCACAACCCTAAATGATAAAAGATTTGAGCACGTTTTTACTCTTTCAAATCTATAGTACTGAACTCTTCACAGTGTCCTGACTTTTAAAGATTCCGCTCAAAGAACATTAAATTTGCAAATCAAATATTTATTTAAAAATTTCAGAGATTTACAGTAGAAAATATTCCAAAATTTAAGCAGAGACAAAAAACAAACAATTTTTTAACACGTTGATCATGCCATTTCAACTAGGTAAAATTTTTTATTTATATTCAAAACAACAGAGAAAAAAATTAAATGCATTTAAGAAAAAACCATGCATAATATATAATATTCCTAACATTTTTGCCATTTGATTATTTTTAGTTTTATTGTAGGCCTTCTGAAATGATACAATGACTGAAAGTGGATCTTAATAGAAATTGAGTTTGGCAAAGGAACAGCAAAGTGTTCAGGCAGTGAGGGTGTTTACCTGCTGTTCTAGCTGTTAAACCCTAATAAAATATCCTCTTAGCGGTTTACCTGCTGTCTGTTTAACCCTAATAATATCTCCTATATCAGCTGTTACCTGCTGTCCTGTATCAGCTGTTTAATTCTAATAATATCTCCTCTATCAGCTGTTTATCTGCTGTATCAGCTGTTTAACCCTAATAAAATCTCCTCTCAGCGGTTTACCTGCTGTCTGTTTAACCCTAATAATATCTCCTCTATCAGCTGTTACCTGCTGTCCTGTATCAGCTGTTTAATTCTAATAATATCTCCTCTATCAGCTGTTTACCTGCTGTATCAGCTGTTTAACCCCAATAAAATCTCCTCTCAGCGGTTTACCTGCTGTATCAGCTGTTTAACCCTAATAATATCTCCTCTATCAGCTGTTTATCTGCTGTATCAGCTGTTTAACTGTACTAATATCTCCTCTGTCAGCTGTTTAACTGTACTAATATCTCCTCTATCCAGTCTCCCCCTAACCCTGCTCCAGTCTCCCCCTAACCCTGTTTTCAGTCTCCCCCTAACCCTGCTAGCAACAACACATCTCTGTGACTCTCTTCTGAACCAGAACCTGATTCTGAGTCTGCCCCTGAACCTGAACCTGAGGCTGAGTCTGCGCCTGAACCTGAACCTGAGACTGAGTCTGCGCCTGAACCTGAACTTGAGACTGAAGCTGGTCCAGAATCTGAAACTGAACTTGAAATCGAACTAAAACCACCTGTGAACATTGCAAACCCATTTTTACTTTCTGTGAAGAAAAATATTGTACAGTTTGCCCAGTTAGACACAACGCAATTAGAGCATAGGAAAAAGTAGACAAACAAATTAAATATCAGTTGGTTAATAACTACAGGAAGTTCTGTTGTTTCTCAGCAATGGATGACGAGGGTGTCAGCTGCGAAATATTGCACTGGCATTCAAAGTCTAATCTGTGTCTATCATATGAATCATTTATATAGAAAATAAATAATGTAGTTTTTCCATTTATGAAAGTTGTAAACTTGTAATACAATTGTAATATCTTAATCTCTGCTACAAAATAAATATTTAGATCTAAAAAAATATCTCCTCTATCAGCTGTTTACCTGCTGTATCCGCTGTTTAACTGTACTAATAACTCCTCTATTAGTTGTTTACCTGCTGTATCAGCTGTTTTACCCTAATAATATCTCCTCTATCAGCTGATCTCCATATTCCACAAGTCTCAACAGAACCAGATTCAGCTGACATTCTTTCTGTTGTAATACAGGGTTATCCACAAAGAATGGAACTATAAGTAAACCTGAAACTTTGTGAAAACGATGGTTTGAGTATTAGATTTAACCTAATAATTCTAAAACAGGATTTAATGGCCTTTTTCATCATACAGGGTGTCCCACGAAACATGACAGTTGGTAAATCTTCACAAACTGTCATGTATCGTGGGACACCTTGTATTTTTATAAAATGAATAATTTCATATGTGGGAACCCTGAATGTGAGATAGTAAACAGACAAAACCCAGTAAATGTCGTCTATGAAGTATCTTCCTTTGTGGGTAACCCTGTATAAATTAAAATAAGCAAGTACAGCAAGTAATGCGTAACTATATGTATACCAATTCTACGTACTATATGTATTATTGTACATTGTACAGAGTGAACAAGAAGGATACTTAAATGGCTAACTAATAATTGAATAATGTTTTTTGATGGTAAACATATTAATATGACAAAGAAGTATCAGGCAATGTAAAGATAAATAAAAACATTTGTTAAGTCTTCTCTAAAATATATCTTATAACTTATAACTATTTAACTTTTACGTAAAATACACTACAAAGAAAGAAAAAATGTTTGATGTATATAGTTCTATTAAGTTCTGTTCTGTTCTATATATTCCAGCTGATTACTGTGTACACTGGAAATATCGATCCAATGGTTAATTTATTCCGGGATTTTTCAATGCTAAGAACATTGAAGACGACATTTTCATTACTCAACTCTCGACAGCCATAAGTTAAGGTAAGATATATTCATAATGCATTACAACTTTTCAAAGTTTTGTATAATCAAATGAACAAATAATTAAATGAAACGCTTGATTCACTGCAGTTTTAAATTCTTTTTCTTCCGGTTTTTAATTTAATTTAAATTTCAATTGCACCCCGCGACTGACGGGTTTCCCGACGCTCTTGCACCCTCCTACATAAAGCGATCCGACTGGAACAGCAGAGAGCTTGCCTATACGCGCATTTTCACAAGGTTTTTGCGCCCCGTGACTGGCAACAAATTGCGTGCTTTGAAATGTTCAGCCATGGCTAGCTTGTATTTTTCATCTAAATTTAGTTTGAACAAACTGTTAAATATGAAATCTGTGTTCATAAAATCGTCGTTGCATTTCAGAAATCTCTTTTTACAATGTATTAAGAAAGAAAATTCTAAAAATAACTCTTATTAAAATGAATTTATCATCGTCTTGTGTTATTTATTCAGAAAAAAAAGAAATTCAACAAATGTAATTTTTTGTGATTTTGGCAACTTCGCTCACAACAACTAGCTATATACAATAGCTGTGTACAATAGCTATATACATTATACAATAGCTGTATAAATTAAACAAAAAAGTGTATTGCATCCTTGGGAAGACCATTGCTAAAACTTGCCTTTAATAAATTATCTGAAAATGAAGGACATACAAAATACAAGAAAATCTCGCAAGGTTAAAAAACAAAGTACTAGCAAAGCCCACCAAGTTCATTCCCGTCGTCTTCCTCACCGCCATCTTGGTTTGTTCCGCCAGATCCACTTGGACGCGGCAATTCCCGGGCCAATCTAGAAGAAAACGTTTTTATTATTTGTTTCCAACATTAATAATGACACAACTGTACAGGTAATTTGATATGTAACTACGTAATTCTCTAGTAATGTGATATACTACAGTTTCTATAACTTTTGTCTGATCAAGTGATCAAGTGAATAAGGATAAATGAGATATTCTTAATTTCTGGCCACAAACTATTTACCTTGAAAAATCAAGATCCAAGTTTTTTATGGCGGGGGAATCTAATCCCGCACTCACCATTTCAGCATCCTAGATAGATACAGGGTGTCCCACGAAACATGACAATAGGAAGACGACTTGAAAGTCGTCTTTGGTATTTGAATTTATTTGTGACATTTAGTCTTCTATCTACTTTAACGTGCATGATTCTTGAAACAATTATCACATAATTCTCCTAGCCCTGGCATTTCCAAAAAGTGGTCTGCGTTTTTTGTGCTTTCAATATTACCGGAGATATAAAGAGTTTGGTTCAGATTTCAATTTTGTTAAATAAAAGCAAAATTGTCGAAATCTGAACGAAATTCTTCATATCTCGGGCAATATTGAAAGCACAAAAAAGGCAGACCACATTTTGGAAATGGCAGGACAAGGGAAATTTTGTTATTATCTCTAGAAATTTACTTCTAAAATTAGATTGACAAGTAAACGCAGCAAATTATATCAATAATCAAGACGACATTCAAGTCGTCCTGCATACTGTCATGTTTCGTGGGACACCCTGTAGATATGTATGTAGATAGATAGATATGTATGTAGATATATGGCTAATTGAAAAGATATGACAAAAATTCTGCAAAATATTAAAAGTTGAAATCTGCAATTATATATCGTCATAAAAAAGAGCAAGAATTACGATAAATGCATCAATTTTAACAGATCAGTATTTTTCGGATTTTTTTAAGGATAAATTTGTGTTACATTTTTCTTTTAACTAAAATGTGTTAAAATCGAAAAAAAAATGTGCGCAAAACAACGCTTATCTTTTTCAAAACTATAAATATCCTTGTAAATATATTGTAGAAAAATACGCCTAAAAGGTGGCAAAAGAAAAAAAGTTTGAACAGATAATTTTATACCTGATTATCATAACCTTCAATGATATTTTGAACAGCTCTAATCAAAATATTTTTCAAAGATATAAAAATATTGAAAGGAACTCAGTCTTTGCCACAAACTCTGATTTTCTAATCCCTGGTATCCTAGCAACCCAATGTCCTGGACATTCAGTATTTCAAATGATAAATTCTGTTCAAAATTTTGAGTTTGAAATATGGTTCACACAATCAGGTTGCACAGATTTCGAAATTTGAATACTTAAGTTTGTGGCAAAGACTCAATTCCTTTAAACTATAAATGTACAAGATTTCTTTAAAGAACTAAATCGCCACAAACTTTTTTTATCTAAAAATATTTGCAATCTAATTTTGAATTTTTTAAATAATTCAAACTTTGACTATTTTTGATTTGGCAGAATTCTTAGTTTGAAATATGAAAGCTCTAAAATATCCGGCTAAAAGATGAATGATTTAGAAAATTATTAAATTCTAAGATAATAATTAGCCCCTGTTTGAATTCAGAATATGGACTTTTTTTACAAATATTATTCCTTGTATGTTCTCCATCACACCACGCTCCAAGTTCACGCCAAACCTTTAAATATTTAATTGATCACGGCAAACTAAAGTAGAAGCACGTTAAAATTTAAATATTTAATTCATCACGGTAACCAAAAGTAAAAGCACGTTAAAATTTAAATATTTAATTGATTACGGCAAACTAAAGTAGCATCACGTTAAATTCAAATATTTAATTTATCATGTTCAAACTAAAGTAGAAGCACTTCAAAATTTAAATATTTAATTGATCACAACAAACAAAAGTAGCAGCACGTTAAAATTTAAATATTTAATTGATCACGGCAAACTAAAGTATTAGCACGTTAAAATTTAAATATTTAATTGATCACGGCAAACTAAAGTAGAAGTACATTAAAATTTAAATATTTAATTGATCATGGCAAACTAAAGTAGCAGCATGTTAAAATTTAAATTTTTAATTGATCACGGCAAATCAAAGTATAAGCACGTTAAAATTTAAATATTTAATTGATCATGGCAAACTAAAGTAGAAGTACATTAAAATTTAAATATTTAATTGATCATGGCAAAATAAAGTAGCTGCACGTTAAAATTTAAATTTTTAATTGATCACGGCAAACTAAAGTAGAAGCACGTTAAAATTTAAATATTTAATTGATCACGGCAAACTAAAGTATTAGCACGTTAAAATTTGAATTTTTAATTGATCACGGCAAACTAAAGTAGAAGCACGTTAAAATTTAAATATTTAATTGATCGCGGCAAACTAAAGTATAATCATGTTAAATGTTAAATTGATCACAGCAAACTAAAGTAGAAGCATGTTAAAATTTAAGTATTAAATTGATCACGGTAACTAAAAGTAGAAGCACGTTAAAATTTAAATATTAAATTGATCACGGTAACTAAAAGTAGAAGCACGTTAAAATTTAAATATTAAATTGATCACGGCAAACTAAAGTATAAGCACGTTAAATATTAAATTGATCACGCCAAACTAAAGTAAAAGCACGTTGAAATATGCCTGAGATATGCCTGCTGTTCTTATACTTGTACATAATATCAAAGCTGGAGGAGCTACGAGGTCACAAATTCATAAATAACAGAATGTATGCTTAAAAGGACTTTTCTTGAATAAAGAATGTACGTTTAAAGGGACTGTTCTTGAATAAAGAATGTATGTTTAATGGGCCTGTTCTTGAACAAAGAATGTATGTTTACAGGGGCTGTTCTTGAATAAAGAATGTATGTTTAATGGGCCTGTTCTTGAACAAAGAATGTATGTTTAATGGGCCTGTTCTTGAACAAAGAATGTATGTTTAAAGGGGCTGTTCTTGAATAAAGAATGTATGTTTAAAAGGACTGTTCTTGAAATAAGAATGTATGTTTAAAGGGGCTGTTCTTGAAAGAAGAATCTATGTTTAAAGGGACTGTTCTTGAATAAAGAATGTATGTCAAAAGGAAGGTTCTTGAATAAAGAATGTATGTCAAAAGGGACTGTTTTTGAAAAAAGAATGCATGTTAAAGGGACTGTTTTTGACAAAAAGAATGTATGTTTAAAGGGACTTTTTACCAAAAAATAGAATTTACCTTCTCAGCTGCTACTCTGTCGCCTTTCATCAGCTCAATCAACAATAACCCCATTACTGCCTTTATTAAAATTATCTTCAAGATTTTATTTAACATTTCCCGGAATTAATTCCAATACAGTACAAAAATAGGGTCGGACTGGTCCAGGTGGACTAGGGTCAATTTAAATTTGAACCAGGCCAACCCCTTCTACAAATGCCAGTAGTCGTACACAGCAAATACCGGACTGATCATATCATACGCGGGCCTGCTTGGTTTCAACCAATTCATCGCTTGGTCAGACTGTTTACAGTACCCAGCCTATCACAGGTGGTAGGGTTGTTAATCATTTTTGAAAATGATCGTTAAACGATCGTTTTTTGTTTCGTTTTTTAATCGTTTACAAAAACGATCATTTTCAAAAACGATCCATTCTTTTTGAACTTTTAGAAAACGAATAACGATCGTTTTTGAAAACACTCGTTTTCATAAAAACGATTTTTATGTTAACAATCTTTAACGAATGATTCATAGCCCTATTTGACCTATCCCATTAGCTTAGTTTAGAGTGCAGTACGAATTTAGTAAAGCTTTCAAAATCCCCAAGGTTCTGAGATGGCAGAGATATTACAATGTAAAATCATTATTGAAAAACAAGTTAAAATTTGGCTATTTTCATATCTTTTTTTTACCTGGGCCGGTGAACTTCCTCCTTCTTTTCTATAATTAACTTCTGCACTAAATAATATCAAAAAATATAAGAAATCAGACGATATACGACTGTAAACACAGTTTGTAAACAAATTGTTCAACAATCATTTACGTTTCTGAAGTATACTTTAGCATTGGCAAACATTTAAATATTTAAAACGTAAAGTTTTAATCTTTTTAAACTTCAAATTGCTATAAAGGGATAGTATTTGTAATCCTTTGTAAAGGAAATCAGATCTAGACAACCATAAAGATTATTCAATATTTTTAAAGTTTAAACGCTCTTTTCTAATTGTTCCCCTATAGTTTAACAATTGTAAAAACTTGTATTAATAAACATCACCAGCAGCCGTCAAAGAGTAATAAAACGAAGAGGTAAAGCTTACCTCAGATGTACACAACTGACCTCCATATTAATTAATTAATAGATTGGTCGGTTGTTTACATCACGATATGTAAACTTATCTAACACTGAGCCCGTTCTCTCCATAATAATGTTTAAACAGTGGCCGTGTACTTTGGGGGACGATAGTTTGGCCGCTAGGTGTCTCACGCAAAATTCTTATCTGATAGATAGATACCAGGGGCGTACAAGGGCTGTTGTTTAGGGAGGACACATACTGAAAAAATTCATACCGAGAGATTCTTTTAATTCCTCTCTATATATTCTATTCTCTATGGATAGATAGTTCTTACGAGAGACATCTAGTGGCCAAACTATCGTACCCCAAAGTACGTGAACAATTGTATAGAGTGTCATCGTGTTTCTTTGGGGTTTCAAATAGTAGATAATTGAACATTAGTATCGATAATAAGATAGACATTTAATTTGTATTGTGAACACATGATTGTATACTGCAGTACATTCCAGTTCAGTTGCTTCTTTATGTTAATAAACGTATGACCAAAATTTGCATCGTGAAAAAGTGCACAAACAATTCTTCTTGTAAAAATGTGAGTTTTTCAAAATACCAAAACAGAATAACCAACAAATATAAGACCAGGAACGCCCAACTCAGATATACGCAAATTGTGCATGTACACTGTGGGAGGAATGTAAACAAATCCAGTGGCAGTGCCCCCACAGCAGTTGAAGAGAAAGGATTAAACAAACACTGAAAAACAAATTATTTATTTAAATATGATTTTTGGGTTTCAGATCAATATGGAAAATTTATTCATGCTCAGTGAGATTTGTTCAAATATAAAGGAGAAGCAAGGTAAAAAGATTCCCACTTATCCTTAGCCCGGTTTCTTTGTCCGGATCTAGCTATGATTTAGCTGCGACTTCCTAGCTTATAAAGCTATGATTTTTTATTTGTTAGTCCAAAATCAGAGCAAGATCAAAGCTTAGGTTAGATCTGAAGTCGGAGTTAAATCATAGCTAAATATCAGCTGATGGAAATCACACCTGAGGTTGGATTTAGCTTCGACTTCACAGCTAAATCACAGCAAATGGGAACAAACTATTTGCCATTTTTAGGTTTTCACAGGATTTTGGGTACAAATAAGCAGACATTAAAACTACTAAAATTGCAAACCATGAAAAGAGAGACCAGAAATAATATGCCAAGATGCATAGTTCAGAAAAAAGATTTTTTAAAAAAACTTAAAAATAATATTTTTTTAAAAAGATATTTTTTTAATTTTTTAACTAATAAATTAAAAAAAATATTTTCTAAAAAATACTTTTTAAGATAAAAAATCAAAATTTTCTTAAGAATATTTATTTTTATTTTGAATACTAAAAAACAGATTTTTTAAAAACAAAAATAAACCTTTTTATCAGATATTTCCTTTTAAAGATTAATTCTGTTATTCTCTTTTTTTTCTTCATCTTTTATCTCTATCTATCTATTTATGTTTTTATTAGTCTATCCATCTATCTAATTTATCAATCATTTTATGTACAATTTTAAGGCCAAAAATCAAAGGCGACTTTTAAAGGGGTCGAGAAAATATCAATGCAACACTAAATTTTATATTTTGCTGTCAGTTAGGAAGGCCAGCTGTCATCAAATCATAGTCAGAGCAGCTTAGATTGGATTCATAAAACAAATTACATGTACTTTGACTAGATCTAAAATCATACTAAATCCAACCTCAAAATTTTGACTTATGAATGAGCTTTGACTGTGATCTGAAATCTAACCTTGTAGCTATGATCTCAAATCATAGTCAGAGTCAAAGCAAGTTACATCTCGACAAAGAAACCGGGCTCTTGTTTCCGAGGTTTAACTTTCTTTTAAAATTTAAAATCTTTCCTCTCAATGTTTAAATCCTTCCTCCCAAGGTTAAAATCCTTCCTCCCGAGGTTTACATCCTTTGAGTGCGGACAATTCAGCACAAATAAAGTCCTCTAAACAAGCACTTATATATTTATGTGGATTTATTGCCAAAAAACTCAGCACAAAAGTTCCCGGCCTTGTCAGAGGCAGTGAGGATAAAACAAACTGTAATTGGATAGAAGTTGAGAAATAAGAGAAAATATTTCAAAAAATACATGGAGAGATAGAGGTCGAGATCCAATCGAAAATACAATTTCAGCTTTTGCTGCAATAAGCAATCGATGGCCTCGGGCAGTTATTAAACTTTTTGAAAATGTTAGATTTTTCAGTAGACTGAAAAAACTCAATGTAATCTTTAAGGAAAAAAGTAAAAATAATGTCAGAACACTAAAACAGACTATTTCCCTCTCCTGTCTTTAAAGCATATACTCTCAAGTAACAAATATTCTTTCGTTTTATAATCAGTATTCGTGTCTACGATAGCAATATACTTTATTTCACCCCCCCCCTCGTAATTGATGACTGAATTCTTTGTTTTGATCGCCTCCCACTGCAGTTCACAAATTTGACGCATCAGATATGGCGGTTCCTGGTCTATATATTTCTTGAGAATAACAGGCGCGCAACTAGGGGTGGCAATGGGGGGCAAGCACCCCCTCCCTTAAGATGAGTTGAAGAGAAGAAAGAATGAAAATGTTGTAAATACGAATGTTGTTTAAGTTTTAAGCTAAAGGCATGCCCATATAAACTTAATAGTTTTGACAGAACTTTTAGCTAAAAATTGAAAACCTACAAATTTGAAAATTGTCAAATGTTTGCAGTCAACATCCTCGAATTCAATTTAAAAAAAGAAAGAAAATATAAAAATTGGTCAATTTCATAAAACCCCCCTTTCGAAATACGATCACTCTATAAACAAGTGTACAGTGTTAGAAACGTAAAACATATCGTGATGTACACAACCGACCACTCTATTGATTAATTAATATAAAGGTCGGTTGTGTACATTAGCTTTACCTCTTCGTTTTTATTACTCTATGGCAGCCGTAGTACATTTGAATTTCCGAGCCGGATCAAATTTTCCGGTCCCAGTTTGTACTGTGTCGCCCGGACATTGGGTAAATAAAGCAGACTCTCAATAGAACTAGCCGGTGCAACAAGGTTGATGCGTTCAGACTTTAGGTTGGATTTACTTTTACTAAAGGGTCAGAGGTGCGTGACGTATCAATCTATTTGTTTTAGATTTCAAATTGTCAGAAAAGTCTCTTATTTATCAACATTGTGTTTTAAATTGAAAATAACCTTTAAAAACATTCTACTGAAGAAGGAATAAAAAAGATGCTTACCGTAAACAAGGTATAGCCCGATCCCAGGCCTTTAGTCGAACACAGATTCTACATGAATAATAGAGAACAAATATGGAAATCTGTAAACTTGACATTATTTAGGTTTTTCTGATTTTTAAGTCATTGAAAAGCTCACTTAGAAATCTGAAGTTAAAATGAACCTTCCTAAGGGAAAACCAGAACAAATGATAATCCTTTTTATACAATCCTTTTATACAATCCCCTTTATACAATACCTTTATACAATACCTTTATACAATACCTATATACAATACCTATATACAATACCTTTAAACAATCCCTTTATGCAATCCCTTCATACAATACCTTTATACAATATCTTTATAACAATCCGTTTATACAATACCTTTATACAATAACTTTATACAATCCTTTTATGCAATCCCTTTATACAATACCTTTATGCACTCCTTTTATACAATCCCTTTATACAATACCTTTATACAATACCTTTATACAACACCTTTATACAATCCCTTTATACAATCCCTTTATACAATCAATACAATACCTTTATACAATCCCTTTATACAATACCTTTATACAATGCCTTTATACAATACCTTTATATAATACCTTTATATAATACCTTTATACAATACCTTTATACAATACCTTTATACAATCCCATTATACAATACCTTTATACAATCCATTTATATAATACCTTTATACAATACCTTTATACAATCCCCTTATACAATCCCTGTATACGATCCGTTAATACAATACCTTTATACAATCCCTTTAAACAATCCCTTTATACAATCCCTTTATACAATCCGTTAATGCAATACCTTTATACAATCCCTTTATACAATACCTTTATACAATACCTTCATACAATACCTTTATACAATACCTTTATACTATACCTTCATACAATACCTTTATACTATACCTTTATACAATCCCTTTATACAATCCCTTCATACAATACCTTTATACAATACCTCTATACAATCCCTTTATACAATACCTTTATACAATCCCTTCATACAATACCTTTATACAATACCTTTATACAAACCCTTTATACAATACTTTATACAATCTCTTTTTACAATACCTTTATACTATGCTTTCATACTATACCTTTATTCCATCCCTTCATACAATACCTTTATACAATACCTTTATACAATCTCTTTATACAATACCTTTATACAATCCCTTTATACATTCCTTCATACAATCTCTTTATACAATACCTTTATACTATGCCTTCATACTATACCTTTATACAATCCCTTTTATCTTTTATCTACCTGCCCGCCTTCCCCATATGGTCGGCAGCTACATTAGGTCTATCCTCTACACTTACAGTTTCAGCTGCCTTCTCATATAAACCTAGATAGATAGATAGATGGCAGCAACATTAGGTATTATACACAATGGGTATATATATATATATATATATATGTATATCTATATATGTATGGTACAAAAATTATTCTTTAATCTAATGACATGTATAGGAAGAAGTTGAGAAAATAATATTTCACTCACATCATCGAAAAGATAATTTTTTAGTCCTATTTCTTTAATATTTATTGTTTCAAAACGTCTCCAGCATAGTTCCTGATTTTTCATTGCTAAGACAACATTTGAAGAAATCTGAAAATAATTTAATAAATAATGAAAACTTCCAGAATAATGGATTTTCCCATTGCTTTTATCGACAATTTCTTTCGAGAAATATGTTACTTAACAGAAAATTTGTTTCTTCTAGAAACCATTCCTTCTTTTGAAATTTTACATTTAAGTGTACGCTCTTACTTCATTAACATACACCGGAAAAATGTTTCATTGGTATCAAGTAAATCATAAAATTTTCTCAATAATACTTCACTCTCGGTTCAACTGCATTACCCAGCCAGTCTCTCCTTTAATGAAAAAAAAACATAGAAAGGGACAGGGCTTGCAATTTTAATTGATTCTCTGCTTATCTAATAATTATAAAATATGACCATGTTTTCTTTTGAAAATTGATTATTTCAAGTTGAGATTTCTCTGTAAAAGTTACAAATTATTATTGTGCCTATTACCTATAGCATCTTCTGGTCTCGATTTTTCAATAATTTTTGCTGCTTTCTCTAGTAAACTTAGTGCAGCCTCGGGCTTATTTACTGTTCTAAAATAAAATAATTATCATGATACAGTGATTTCCAAAATAACGTGGAACAACCTTAGTTCAACGAACATCATTAAAAAAAATATTTTTAAGCTACTGGTGTATTTTTAAGTTTAAAAACACAAAATATTGTCTACATGTCGTCGTTCTTTGTCTTCAGTTTTAGTGGTTTCACTGTATTTTGCCTTGTTTCAATAAGCGACTTGTGTATCCCTAGGCATATAAATTATTAAACTGCACAAGTCTTGTATCTATCCTAAAAGAATTGAGTTTTTGTCACAAACATAAATTTTCAAATTTTTATATCTTTGCGATATATTAATGGTTTAAACCTTTGATATTACAAACTTAGAGTTTTATATTTAACGTAATTCAAATTTTGAAATAGCTAAGATCTACGACAATGGGCTGGAAAGAAATGGGATTAAAAAATCAGATTTTGTGGCAAAGACTTAATTCCTTTAAAAGGATTAAAAGGCAAAACGCTGCTCGATTTTTGCATGAGAGCATACACATCTTGGTTTGCAGTGGTTTTTTTATGTTAAAAATTGTATTTTGTCTTATTTTTTATTTTATGAATTGTATTTCGTCTTATTTTTTATTTTAAAAATTGTATTTTGTCTTATTTTTGTATCTTATAAATTTTATTTGATTTATTTTTTTTATTTTAAAAATTGTATTTTATCTTATTTCTTTATTTTATAAATTGTACTTGTCTTATTTTTTTATGTCATAAATTGTATTTTGTCTTTTTTTATTTTATTAATTGTATTTTGTCTTATTTTTTTTATTTTGAAAATTGTATTTGTCTTAATTTATTATTCTAAAAATTGTATTTTGTCAATTACTTCATTTAAAAATTTGTATTTTGTCATATTTTTTATGATAGAAATTGTATTTTGTCTTATTTTTTTATTTTAAAAATTGTATTTTGTCTTATGTTTTTTTCTAAAAATTGTATTTTGTATTATTTCTTTATTTTAAAAATGTATTTTGTCTAATTTTTTTATTTTTTAAATTGTATTTTGTCTTCTTTTTTATTTTATAAATTGCATTTTGTCTTATTTTTATCTTAAAAATTGTATCTTGTCTTATTTTTATTTTAAAAATTGTATCTTGTCTTATTGTTTTATTTTAAAAATTGTATTTTGTCTTATGTTGTTATTTTAAAAATTGTATTTAGTCTTATTTTTCTATTTTGAAAATTGTATTTTGTCTTATTTCTTTATTCTAAAAATGTTACCTAAACATCATAGCACCCCTTGTAGCATACTCAGAGATGTCTTCATGTCTTCAAATAAACAAAAATTAGCTCAGAGCGATTTTCAAATGTGTGTCATCATTATATATTAAATAGCAATCTCTTTTTTCTGTGTTTATTTATCTGATTCTAACTCATGAACCTCTGAACTGATTTGCTTATCATTTCTTTTTGGTAACTCATAGTATATTTTAGGGCTGATTCTCCAGGCAAAGCTGGGTTCCGAGGCTAGTACTTAATGATGTGTATTTTGAGTTGTAGACGTAAAAAATCATTAAAATATCACTTCAGAAAAGCTTTTTCTCCAGCTGCATGTCAAAGTGATAAAAAAATGTTTCTAAATTCTCCAAAAAGTTAAAAACCGGCTTGAAAACCATGAAAGAAACTCTTATCAGACATAATTCATAAAAGCCACTTAGATATGAGACTCTATCAATGTTTTATGAGATGTTATCAAAGTAATATTTGACGATAAACTTTTGTTATTTCTAAAATATCGATAGCCTATTAGTTGGATGCAAAAAATTGTTAATCATATTGATTATTGATTGGAACCAAGGAACTATATACAGGAACGCCGAACTCAGATATACGCATATTATGTACTGTACTCTGTGGGAGGAATGTAAACAAACCCAGTGCCCCAACAGGAGTTGAAGGAAAAGGACTAAAGTTAATATATCAAGTTAGAGCGAATACATATGGTTTTGGTAAATATGGAAAATACAGTAGCAATATATTTTTTATTCCACCCCTTGGGCCCTTTTCCCTCAAAGATGATCAATTCTTTGTTTTGATCTCTTCCCACGTACTGCAGTACACAGATTTGACGCATGCGATATGATGGTTCCTGGTCTATATATCTCTTGATTGGAACTGTCTACCGATTTTTCTAATAATTAGTTAAAAAATAAGTTTTATTTCTTACTTGTTTGCATCTTTACACACCATCACCGCATTGTCAAGCATGCGACCGGCCTGAAAATAAAAAAATGAGTTATAAATTTTATAAAAAAAATTTTTAAGTTTTTTTAAATTTTTTTCAAATTTTATTAACCTGAAACACTTGATGCACTTCTTTATAACAATCCACAGCTCTTAAGTAACATTTCTAGACATAAACATCACATTACAGAACTGTACAGAATACCAGACAACTAAGAAATGTATTTTATGTTAAGATCGGGCCTACTGTGAAGTGTCACACAGCGCCTTAGCTTTTATCTCACCAACTCAGTTTTGTTTTTCTGTAGCACGCTTGTTTTAAATGAATAATGGGTAATTACTTACAGAGTGAAATTACATTTCTCGGTAGCATCATGTAATTCTTTGTGAAGTAAAACTGATGGAATGAATCCTTCTAAAATCCTTTTTCAAATTAAAAGTAATGTGTGGATTTACGCAGCAGAAAAAAGGAAGGAAAATTGCCAGAACTATCTCACAACAACCATATTTTCCTCATGTTTACTAAGTCAGAGGCTTCAAGTGTGTACATTATGAATTGTGATACAACTTTGTCATTGGTCACTGAATTAGGTTGTCAGTCCCTTTCCCCCCAATTTCATACCTTAGATTCTTCATATTTCTTGGCAACTTTGTAGGCTGTTCCTGCTCTTCCAAACTCATCACCTGCTGGGTCATATTCAGGACTAAATAGGAATATAAGTCAAGGTCAAGGTCAAGGTCAAGGTCAAGTTCGAGGTCAGGACTAAATATGAATAAAGGTCAAGGTTAAGGTCATAGTCAGGACAAGGTAGGAAGGTATTAATATGGGTAAAAACATGGTTCCTCTAAAAAAAACTTTTTTAAAACTTTTATAAGTTCAAAAGCAAACGATTCACCAATTTCGAAAATGTTTATTCTCAAAAAATGCCTTCAATTTACACCCTTTTACAATGTCAAAATATAGTTTTTGTTTATTTTGATCTCATATTTGTTGCATGGTTTAATTAAAACAAACTTTTACATTGATGCAGTTTTGAAATCAACTAAACAAGCTTCGAGAGGTGATTATTAAAAGTCCAGAGCCCGAATTTAATAAATTTAAGCCGCGTCTCAAATCCGCCAAAAACCGGTTTCAATTAAGCGCCGACTTAAATTTTGAAACATTGAATACAATTTTAAGAGGAACGGACCATATTTAAGCCGCGTCTAAAATTTAAGCCGGGGCTTAAATTCTTTAAATTCGGCCTCAGAATATATTTAAAGTTCTAGAAAAAATGAACCAAGGTCAACTTTCAAGAAAATGGAACCATTAAGTTCATCGCAATATTTAATATGCATTAAAGGGCGTGTTAGTGTAATTTTAAGTAACCCTGCATGCACAGATGGCAATGTCCGATTCACAACGGTACCCTTAAACACTTTATCTGATAAAGTTTAGATATCAATGTTCTTGTTTCTTTAAACTGGATAATTTCAGTTGTTGTTTCTCTACAAAATTGACTTGTCTCCGACAAGAAAACAAACTGAAATTCTCAGAATTTAACACTTTTAAACCAAGAAAAACGACAACATTTTTTTATTATTGATAAGATAAAGGTTTCAAGGGTACCAATGTTAATTAGACATTACCATCTTTTCATGGAGGGTCACTTGAAATTACGCTTACAGTCCCTTTAAATGTTTGTAGGTCAAAGGAAATTGTAAGTTTGATCCTAGGTAAATACCGAGACATTTTTCTAAAGATATTCAATGTGAGCACTTTTAAATTTGAGGACCAAAGTTTAATTCTCATTTAAAGATATCCTTGCAGGGTATATCCATTACGGGATATCAAAGAGGAATTAAATTAGTCTGTAGAATTTAAATCAGATTTCTGAACAGCTGGTTGGAGAATTGCTGCATTTTTCCCCGTATTTTCTCCATTTTGTTCCCAGATTCTTAGTTTTGATTTAATGTAAACTTTTGCAAGTTTTTTTATTTGATAAATTAGTAATTACCTGAATTTGAATTTGAAAGGAGCAGTTTTTAAATGTTTCTCAGCCTGGCACAGTTCGGTTTAATTTTCAAAATTTCAAAATTCGAAGGTTCTATGTTGAATTTACATTTTTAAGGTTAGCAAAAACAAATTATAATTTTAAGATTGTTAAAAGAAATGAAATCAGTTTTAACTTTGATTCGTCTAATTCTAAAATATCTTAGTTTTAAAAATTGTCAAAGGGTTTTGTTTGTATGATATTAAAAATCTATACTTTAGAAAACCCTATTTTGAATGCATTTCAACTGTTACGATCATTAATAAGATTTCGTGTTGATGATAGGCAATATACAGGGTGTCCCACGAAACATGACAGTTGGTGAGTAGTTTTTAATGTCTTCTTTCCAAATACTGTATGAGATATTATAACTATTAATTACTACTTAACCGGGAGATTAAGGGAGGATAATTAAATTGAGGGGAAAACCACTTAGCCGAGGGCCTCCAAGACCTTTTTGGGGTTCTAAACCTCACGAGCGTAGCGTAGCGTAGAATTATCCTCATGAAAACTCCCGGTTAAGTAGTAATTTATCGTTTAATCTCCTGTTCAACGAAATAACCAACCGTGGGGGATAAAATAATAATGAAATCAATAAAACTATCAATTATGATTTTAATTCTCCTATTTCTTACTAATGCATATGGAAAAAGACTAAATGCAGTTTATTTCTTAAAAACAATGTTTAATTCATATATTTTACTGTTAAATCAATTTTACTATAATGTAACTGTATATTATGTATATAATGTTATTAGTCTCTTTAGTATTAAACAACTTATCAAACTATGGAAGAAGACATTTTAAACTATTCACCAACGTCATGCTTCACGTATCTTCATTTAAACTTTAGAAAGAAAGACGACATTACTCAAGTTCTTATTTTGAATTGTCCAATGAACATAAGAAGAACGGCAATTGTGTAAAGTACACGAACTCATTTTACTTAACAATCTTAATAATTTTAGCTATTGGTAAAGCTATTTGCTATTTTACGACTTACACATCAAAGGAATTGAGTTTTTGCCATAAACTCGCATTTTCAAACTCCTATATCTTTGCAACCTTACGGTGTAAACCTTTGATATTTCAAACTTAGTCTATTTGATTTAACAGAATTAATAGTTTGAAATATCAAAGGTCTTGGAAAACGAGTTGCAAAGTTATAAGAATTGGAAAATCAGAGTTTGTGACAAAAACTCAAATCTTTTCTCGAATATTATTATTATCTTCCTAATCTTTAATTTCAAAAAATAATTATTAATTATTAAAAAGTAATAAAAAATTAAACTTTCCAGACGAACATGTTCTTCAGCCTCCTCTAGTTTCTTTTTCTCAAGAATATTTGACATGTTGTTTTCTAAAATCGGATAAGTTTAAAGGGACAGTTCACCAATTTAAATACCTTATTCACGCAACGAACCCCTTCGTTTGAGCAACAATGATAAAAATCTCCATTTGTGAATAGAATAGGAATGAAACTATTCTAATTGTGGTTTCTTTGCGGTGAGTAGAAAATTCTGGAATAGGAACACGACTTTCAGATTCAAGTTATTGCTTTAAATATTCTAGTGAACCAGAGAAACAGCCAACTGTGCAGTGTTAACAGACTCATTTCACTAAATAAATAACTTGAAAAATGAATAGTAAAACTATTTGACAAGAAATACATTTCAGTTTTGCTTTAGTGTCGTCTTCCTATTCCAAATTTTTCTGGTTATCACTGTTTGAAAAATCACAAAAACACAATTTACAGAATTACTTTTTCAAAATAGAAAAATTAATAAAAGAATTATTAATTTACCAATCAAAAGGATCTAATCTAAATACAATCATATGTAAATATGTAGATATATATATAGTAAATTCATATTCTATGTATCTATATACTTTGCTTTAGTCTGGGTGTCTGATTTATCCAAAAACGCTAAAACGGTTGAACCGATCAGGACCAAATTTTGTGTGGGACATCACATGACCCCAGGGAAAGTTTTATTGATGATCAAAATTTCAAAAATTTGCCTAAATTCGATTTTCATAAAAAAACTATTCATTATCCGCGAACTCTTTGTTTTGTTTTATATTGTATAAAAAGAGAAAATGTTCACAGTTGAAGTAAAAGATGGGTGCGAAGCGCTCTGAAAGCCTGTAGTCGATATATCTTTAACAATTACAATCTAAACTGTAACATTTTGGAAAAACATTTGTTTATTATTAAGAAAACACTAGTTTAGAAAACATAAAAGAAATGTTAATTTATTATTTTTAAATTTTAAACGGAAATAAACAATTCCCTGGTATAACATAGAATATAGATAGATCTATTATAGTTTATATTATTGTTATGATATATTGAGACTGAACTGGTTTCTGCAGTATATAGTCAGCTGACCTCTTCAATACAACCTCCAAACTATCATGTTTCTCAGCCTGGCACAGTTC